CACCCCACCCTCTCCTCTTGAGAGTTACTTCAGTAACATGAAGCCAGGATGTGGCCACTTGAATTAAAGTAACAAGAGGTTAATGAGTTGCTAAAATATGCACCTGATGTCAAAAAGTGCATTCCACATGCTTTCCAAGTCTGTAAATACCCCAAATCCCGTGTAATTGGCGCTCCCAGCTTTCTATGAACCGAGCTCTTGCAGCAGCACTGAAATATGACAGGCGCTGCATTTAGTTTTGTTTGTTTAACTTTTCTTTTAGACAGTGTGATGCTCTAACCCTCTTCCTGCTTTTACTCTGTAAACACTGCGTTGCTTTAATTATCAGCACAGAGAGCTCCAAGAACAATAATCTCCAATGTGCTGCCTGGCCTGGTGCCACTGGTGTTTCAGTGGAACAAATGGTCATTCATTTTGCAACACTTTTGAACCAAAATGTTTACATCACACGTTTAGCTCCACGTGGTGGGGTGGGGAGAGCAGGAATATTTTTGCAACACTTAAAGTTATGAGTGTTCTGAAATCTCTTGGCATTAGCAATATAAATTGTGGAATAGCAGCGAGTGTTTATGCGCTATAGGGGGAAGGTGTCAGGGATTCTTTGCTGCTGGGCTGAGGCAGGGAATGTGCTTGAGTTGGATTTTGCTCTCTCTGTGGAACGTTTGCTCAAATAATTTACCTTTTTCTACAGTCAGGTCTTGCCTACCTATGATAGCTTGGACGAGCCGTCTGTTAAAATCATGAGCTCTATATTTGCTTCTTCCCTAAATGTGGTCACCACCTTTTATATTACGGTAAGAAACTTTTCCCTTCTCTTTCCTCGCCCCTCCAGAGCATGACTTCTGGCAATAGGGATGATAATTTATCTTTGGATGGGGCTGGTTTCTAATTATCTGTATTTGTTCTGAAAGGTAAGTCATTTTGCTGAAAGCAAAATGAAGTGGGAGGTGATGTACCGAACAGTGCAGGAGGCATTTGGAGAATCCAGATTTTCAGCATTGCACGCCTCGGTGGGTGGAGACAGTGGAGACCCAGCTGTCTTTCCATACACATCAGCCTGGAGTCTGCCTTCCAGGGCCTGACCTGGCACTGGAGGTGCTGTGAAGAATTTAGGAGGGCTGCTTTTTGGCCTGTTGCAATTGGAAAGATGTGAAGGAAGTTATGCATCATAAAGTACCAGTAAATAAAACTGAGTTAATAATTCCTGGGAAGAGCCTGCCCCTGTGAGCTAGGCTGCTGCGGGTAATTGTTACAGCTCCTCCTTCATTGGAGGAGTCAGGTCTGTGGGCCTGGCAGGCAGCACAGTATCACTGCTTAATGTCACGGGCAGTGACAGCTTTCCCTTGCTGCAGTGTCCCCCTTGAAAGCCCCTTATGTTTTGCAAGAACCTTTCCTCCGTTTTTAGGAGGGACCCACTGTTCTTTAACTGCCTGTCTCAGTTTTTGGAAGTGTTGCAGCTATGGACTCTGGAAAGTCTCTGTGGAGTTTGCCCCATGCTCCCTTCTTGGCTGGCGTGTATGAATGTACCTTGGAAACAAATCCCATCTGCTCACTTCTCCTCCTGTCGGACAGGTGGGGTTCTTTGGCTACGTGAGTTACACCGAAGCCATTGCTGGGAACGTCCTAATGAACTTCCCTTCCAACCTTGTGACGGAGATGATTCGAGTGGGATTCATGATGTCGGTAGCTGTGGGGTTTCCGATGATGATTCTCCCCTGCAGACAGGCGCTGAACACTCTTCTCTTTGAGCAGCAGGTAAGATCGTATTGTGTGGTGAGGAGCACTGGGCTGCCTTGGTGGGCACCTTTGAAACTTGCTTTTTGAAGGGCTATTGTGACTATTTGGCTTCAGCTGTTGACTGATGACTTGGGTTACAAATGTGCCTTGGCACTGTGAGACTCCATTGACAGCAGCATATTTCTGGCTCGTGGTTGGTACTTGCTATTCAGAGGGATGAGCCCTCAACTCACAGTGAAATTGTAAGTGTCTGGTGTGTGGTAACGGTGCAGCAGGAGGCCCATGGCAGTCTGTAAATCCTGCTCTGCAGAATGGTTAGTCTGTGGTACTTTGAGGTTCTTGTCCTCTCTGCAGAGGAATTTCGTGGGCAGGAGTGCTAGGGTTGCGAGTCTGAAGCTGCTATTGCTCTGCTACACCCCAAGTCATGTGGCTGCTACTTCCCTGCTCTGCTGGTAATTTAGGCTCTCACGTAGAAGTGTTACACAGTTCGATGCTGAGATGGCTCTCCCTTTTGGAAGGAGAGAGAAATGTGTTTTTAGAAACAGAGGCGCCTCCTTATTTCCTGCTGCTCCGGCTGGCATCCTTTTGCTGGCCAGCTCGATCTTGCTTTGCATTTAGCTCAAGCTTCTGTTCCTGGCCTCAGAGCCCAGCACCAGAATCATTTCTTCTCACTTCTGTGCGTGCTTGCTCATTTCTGCTCTTTTATTATTATTCTAATCCTTGCACCTTCCTCAATAGTTCCCTGAACAGCCTTCTATTCAGGTTCAGATGTCCCCTGCCTCCAGTGCCTCCCCTGGCTGTCCCCAGTGCCGATCTGGTGCAGAAACATGCCTTGGAATACACCCCTCTCCCACACGTTCACCTTTCCCAGGGTCAGATCTTCAGACAGCCTTTGTGACTATAGTTGGTCTGTCTGATTTAGACTGTAAGTCCCTTGTGGCAGTAGCGTGTTCTCCTCTGTGTATTGTACAGCAGTAAGCATGCCGATGGTATTCAGTAAATAACAGTAAGAGATTGTGGGAATGTTCTGAGGCCTTTGTGTATCCGCATAAATAGAAACCTCTTAGGGCAGGAAATAAAACTCAAGCAATTTATAGCTCTAAATCCTGCCACTTCTGCCTGTGAGAAGCCCCCAGCTCTTTTCTCACGTTGTGAGGGTCTGGAGATGGGGAAAGACTATTGGTGAAAGCCAGCAGGTGAGAGGAGCAAGCACTGGCAACGCTTGGGAAGTCCTCAGTTCTCGCCTGGGCTCTGCTCCTTGCTCTTTGGGTTCTGAACATGCCACTTTGCTTTCGGTTCCTATCTGTGCAGGCAGGAGAGTGGGGAACTGATGGTTCTCCAGGGCGTGTGGATGCACTGTGTCCTGTGCTTTCTGCACCTCCTGCCAGGGGAATGCTGGGGCAGGACAGGAAACGGAGGGCATCTGGAAAGCCTCCACTCTCAGTTGCTCCCAGGTAGGGCCGTTCATCCTCTCTGAAGTCTGGCTAGGGTGTCTTCTGTAAAGTCAGAGGAGTCGATGTACTTGTACTGTAACCTTGTGGGAATGGTGGGTATTAGGGAATGCCTTGCTGTAGCAAACACAGAGCTCTCCCCTCTGTGACCATCCTTCCTCCTGCCTTCTCTGCTATGCCTTTTTCTCATGCCCTCGGCCTTGAGGTTGTTCGGAGAGGCTGAGCGGCAGCAGCTCTGGCAGAGGGATTTGACTACAGCTGTACAGTTCATGTTTGGGGCAGGATGGAAAACAGCAGCTTTGGCTTTGTGCCCCCTCTTTGGTTCAAGCTGCAGTTGCATATTAAAGCTGCTCAACCACATCTAGCTGCCCTCCTAAGCGTTCACCTCTGGAGACCACGGTGTTCAGGTGAACCTGCCACTGTTCAAAGTCCCTCTTGGCCTCTTTGGCCCCACCAGTGGAGGCTGCTGGGGTAATTGCTTTTGAACTGGGCAGGTGCAAAGCAGGGGCTAAACTCATTCTCTTCCCCTCCCACCCTTTCTCTTCTAGCAAAAAGATGGTACCTTTGCTGCTGGGGGTTACATGCCCCCCCTTCGTTTTAAAGCCCTCACGCTGGCTGTTGTGTTTGGAACCATGGTGGGAGGCATCATGATCCCAAATGGTGAGTGAGGTGTTGGGGGGCAAGGACTGGTTGCTTAGTTACTTTCTGTGGTTACTCTTATGTTCTGCGTTCTCTTTTCCATCCCACACCAGATCTGATATTTGCAGTGGTAGCTCAACATTTGAAGCTTTTTCTCCAAAACTCCTAGAGCTTCCACTTAGCTCTGGCACTGTCTGAATGCACGGTGCTGTGTACAGTGTGTGGTAATGAGCAGGACCCCGATCCCTTAGGGTAGAGGGAGGTCTTTGCTGAGGAAAAGCCTCTCAGTGCCGTGCAGCAGCATGAAGTTGCTACCAGCTGCTTGAACGCAGCGCAGGTTGCAGTGGCTGGCCCTGCCTTGGGTAGGGATCGCCCATCCCGCTGGGCTCGCGTTGCGCTCTCCTTGGGGACGCAGGCACAGTCTAAGTGTTGCTGCTTCTGGCTGCCCCGAAGGAGGACCGTGCTGACTTCTTGTTCTTCTTTGCCAGTGGAAACTGTCCTGGGCCTAACAGGTGCTACGATGGGAAGCCTCATCTGTTTTATCTGTCCAGCTCTTATTTACAAGAAGATCCACAAGAATGCCCTTTGCTCACAGGTCAGTGCTCATGCTACTTGACATCCCCCTAAGCTCTCGGCGGAGCCTGGGAACCTGGTTAATTTGGCTGCAGCAGGGAAACTGCTCAGCAGCTCTTCCAACCTTTCCCCTTCCAGTCTGCCCCATTACAGGTGGGAGTTGTGTTGATCGGCCGCTCTGAGCAGCGTTGCTCATGAGCACGCAGGTAGCAGAAGAGGAGGTGCTGGCTCAGTGCATGGCCTGCCCTGTGCTAGAACACCACCTCGCATCCCTCCAGCTGCAAGTGAAGCTTTCATTTAATGCATAAAACGCCGCTTCCAGCCCCCTGTCGGGTAGACTTCAGTTCTGTATCCACAGAATGAGAAATCCAGGCAGCATATAAAACCTTAACGGGCCTTACATTTCAACCTGTCTGGGCTGGGTAAAATAAACAAGGTTTCTCAGCGATGCGGTTCTTGCTGCTGACCCTCAGCTTTCTGGTTTCAACCAAAATAACAATAAAAAGGAACACACACATAGAGGTGTTGCTTCAGGAATTGATTTTTTAAAAATTGGGGTCGTTCAGAGGCTATTAGCAATTCAGCTTTTCCTCTTGCTCCAGTTTGAATTGGCCTCCTCAGGGACTGAAACCAAGTGTCTCTTTGCTAAGCTTGATCTTTCTGTTTTTGCAAATACTGTGTTTTTATGGAGCTGAAATTAACATGTTTTGTTATTTTCTAACAATAACTTAATCCAGGGCCTTTTAGCAGGCCTCTGTTCCAGCATTGCCAGTCACGACAGCACTGGTCTGGGAATAAGTTTTTTGGCAAACTGCAGAATCAGCAGGGAGAGCGCAAGACATTTTTGTGGGCCCTATTGAACTAATGGCTTTTTCTATGTTTAATGACTTGTGGGTTTGCAAATGTACATGAAGTTTTTAAGCAGGGTGTATTTTTTTTTTTCTTTGCCCATGCTTTCTCTGACACAAGGAAATAGTTCAACTTCCCAGCTTTCACTCTGAATTCTGACACTTTGGTCCTAACTTCTTTGACTGAAACCCTAAGCAGGAGTCTGAATGCCAGCCTGGATTTTTCAGGGAAACAAAGAGCACTTTCAAGAATTGCTTTCTATTCCGGCTGAGCCAGAACGTTGCTCTGCAGTGCCTTGAAACTGCACTTAAGATATGCTGAGCTCTTAGACTGGCTGCCTAGAGGCAACTGTCAGCTGCCCGCAGTTGAACACTGGGGCCCTCACAATGCATGACCTGAAATGCTGGTCACAAGACTGGCGAGGAAGATGTTTGTCCTGCAGAAATCCCCACCAAGGATAAGGGCTTATCTAAAGCATCAGCCCCCAGGTTACCCTGGCATTTCAAGGGGCTGGTAGCAAGCTGTCCAGCCTTCTCGTGAATGATCCATCGCCTGTCAAGTTTGCATACTTGCTTTGACTGATGCTCTGAAGCATTGCAGCAAGGGCACACCTGTCTTCAGAAATGCACTAGGCTGCAGAACGCCTCCCTGCCTCCACTCTGGAAACTGGATTCTGGGCCCAGCCTCTCCTTGCTCCCCCGGGTCTTCTGGAAAGACTCATTTATTCTTTCCCTGAAGCTCTGTCTTTGGTCTCCTCCTTCTTTCCTGCTTTCTTTGATCAGGTACTCTACTCCATCAAAATATGCTCCTGTGAAAAGTGGCAGTCATGGGGAAGAAGGGGCCAGCTCTGGGCATAGCTGTTCTTCCCCGCTTCTGCGTCTAAACAGTATATGTGTATGTTCTCTCTCCCTACCTCCATCATCCTTAAACTTGTTACCAAAGCAACAGGCCTTCTCAACTTCAGCTCTTATAAATTTTCAACTCCAGCCTGCCTAAGTTGTCTTGACTCTTCCAGTAGTTTTTCTTCATGTGTGCTGCTGCTGCTGAGAACTGGCTGCTTTACTAAGCCACCTCTGGCTTCGAGCAAAGCCCAGTGGTGGGTAGCTTATGGGGCTGGCAAAATAGGAAGTTTGGTTTCACAGAGTTGGAAAGATGGCGCAAGCTTAGGTTAAAAAATAGGGGAGTCGCATTACAAGTAGCGAAGAGGATTCCAAGGGGAGAGGGATATGGGCAGTCCCAGATGTTTGCTGGCCAGCGGAGAGCGCTGGATTCTGCCAGTGAGCTGTTAATTATTACAGCCGCTGGTCAGTCAACGGCTGGCAGCCAGCCAGGGGCTGGGAATTGCCGCTTGGATTAGGCTGGGGGGGTGGTTTAGTTGAAAGGCTTGGTATGTTGGAAAGACGATCAGGTAACAGAGCAAGTAGGGGAAGTTAAAAAGCTTAAATTCAGGCATGCAGAGCTGTGAATGAATTGGGGGGGAAAAGGTCCCCTTTTTTGTGGTTAGCGTCTCAAGCATGTCCCTGTAAAGGTGCAGGTCCGCATCCTGCTGCCCTCTGGGAGCCTTGAGTGGGGGGGACAGAGTGCGGTTTGGCAGAGCGCTGCTGAAGGTCGCGTTAAGGTCTGTAAACAGAGTGTTTAACTTCTAACAGGAAGGTGTTGGCTTCCCAGTGTTGACACAAGCTTGTCTGAGAGGCCCCTCCTAGGGAGGCCGGGAGTTGCTGTTGTCCCAGTTGGGGAAGAGGAGCCACAGAGAGGCTGCTCAAGGTCAGGAAATGACCCCTCTCGTGGTGCTCGTGTAGGAATGGAAAGAGCGATCCCCTCTGCCCTCTCCTCCTCAGGCAGCGGCCAGCACACCTTCACTGCCTACAAGTTTTCACTTGCCACAGTTCTTAAAGCATAGCATCTCTGTCAAAGCGCAGCAGAGAAACCCAGGGGTGACCAGGGTTCTTGCATTCCTTCGTGATTACTCTGTCCCACCAAACTGCTTGGTGTCCAAAACAACACAGTTCAGAGGATGTCGTCACTCTAGACAAATGCAGTTTTGGATTCCGGCTGATGGCTCAGGCGTGGCTAGAGGGGATAGCCTGAGCTAATGACACTTCTGTACAAAGTTCAAGTTATCTTTTGGGAGGAAGGATGACTGAGGGAGAGCAACCAGCGGAGGAAACGGACGTGTAAACTTCCGTTTCTGAATTCCTGCCTGTGCTCGGAGCGCTTCTCTTGGGAGACAGGCCTCTTGCATTGCTGACCTGCACGTTGGAAGAGGCTGCAGCCAGGGGTGTTTGCGCATACGCCTGTGATGTCCACATTAAGAGGTGCCTCTGGAGAAGGCGCTCTCTGGTCTCAGTGTGTTGGCTGTTCAGAGGTATGGGGGAGACTCTTCCTGTTTAGGCAGCTTCGTTGCAGTCTGCCTGGCTCAGCAAACACTGCGCAGTTCAAGACGTTGCAGAATGGAGGACAAAAAAGCTCTTTTGAGGTTCCCTGCTAGGATGGGGACCCAATGCAGCCCTGAGCTGTGCTCCTGACAGGCCTTGCCGATGCCAGCAGGAGTCTTCCAATATAGTGAGTTGACTTTCAGCATGAATATGGCCTTTGCTTTCACGTTGCTGCCTTGTGTGTGTGAAGGCATCCACCCAGGGATCTCTCTCTCTGCTGCCCTGCTGGAGCAGCCCCTCTGCAACCCAGCAGCGATGTAGGAGTAGATGAAATTCCTGTATTCTTGCTGAACTGCTGTCACTGAGACCTTGTCTCACAACACTGCAGTAAGTTGAAGAAGGGCGTTAAGTGGCTATGTGCATATATATATATAAAATATATATATTTTAATTTCAGTGAGGTCATTTCTGCTCCCTGGGCTAGCTGACTGCAGGCCTCAGTCTCTTAATGGCCCCCACCTACAAATGTGGGGCCTTTAATAATGATAAAAAATAGTAATTAAAAATCAACCCTTTCAGGGCATCCTGACTTGAAACTGTTCTGATGAATCGGTTAAGAACAAAACAAAACAAAACCCTCTGGAAAAGTTTGGGAGAGCGTGGCTCATGGATGAAGGCAAGAGGCAGCTTTAAGGCAGCGGTGCCAAACCTGCTGTCGCTACTAGAGACCAGACACTGCCTTGATTTGGTGTGACCGTTGCAAGCAGGCCCTAACTGCTTGTAACTGCTCCACGGTGTTACCCCTCCTTTTGCTCTGGGTTCTCTACTCTTCAGCGGCGTTGCTTGGGGGTAGGTGCTTCCTCTGCCTGGGTTCGGTTTCTTGAGCCACCTAGTCCTTGCAGCCTGCATTCCTGTTCCTTTGATTGCTGGAGATTAGCCTTGGTAGCCCCTCGAGTACAAACTGCCTGTTTTTGCATGTTGTAAATATCTCTGTGGAATTCGGCCAAATCATGGACCTCTTTATTCCAGTCTGCAGTCGCTCCGGGGTAAGTGAGGATGGGGTGTGTTGATGGGGTGGAGCTGAAGGTTAGGGAAGACTGTTGGTTCACGGACAGCCCAGCCTGTCTCTGAACGCTGTGTGTGTGCTTACCCACCGCTCTGAGAAGCTCACAGATGAACTCCAAATGTTAAACAATCAGAGGGGTTTTGAATCCAAGGCATTCAGTTATGTGGTTCCCCACTAAGAATTAGGTAAGAAACAACGAAAATCCTTTTAAAACACTTCATATTTTCAGCTGTTTCCTACAGTTCCCTTTTCTCCCACGTGGCTCCTTCTTCCTGCGACACCAGAGTAGATTCTCTTTGTGGAAATGCTCTTCCTCTCTGCTGTTGCTTCTGGAAGACGCTAGCACAGCCTTCTAGTCACAAAATGCATTTCTGCTGGGACTTCAGACTGTATGAGGAAAGGAAGCGGACAAGCTCCAAGCTGAGGGCAGAAGTGGCAAAGACCTGCTGACTCTGCTTTTGGCCTGAGCAGGATGGCAGGATATCTGCTCTTTGTGCACCCACACAGCAAGGCAGGGACCAGCTTTTACTTTTGTTTCCTTTACAACATCTCTAAGATCTGGCCTCTGCTCCCTGACCATGCTGCTAGTCTTGTCCAGAGCCGCTTTGCATCCCGCCAACGTTTTCCTTCTGAGGGCGTCTTCCTGTCTGCAGAGGTATGCTGAGAATGGGGTCTCCTGGGCCCGTGGCTCTGACCACGCTGACCTGTGTTTCTGGGCGTCTTTCTCTCTCAGCACAATGGAAGAGGGAGAGCAAAACGTTAGCTTTGGGGATGCCAACATTTAAACCTTCCCAGTCAGTTTCAGTGCTCCCCTTGGTTTCCCGTCTTTCCCTTCCTGCAGCCCACGGCAGCCTCCGGTTATGGGAATGGTCCCCAGCAGCCATTCCTGTTTTTTCCTCACACCGAGTTGCACCCTTTTGTTGCGTTTTGTGTTAATTGTGGCTTCCGTGTTGCAGGATAAGGATTCTGGAGGAAAAGGGGAGAGCGTGTAGTCCCACGGGACACGGTCCTCTCACGAGCTCCTGGTAATCACAACCCGAGTCAGAATTGCTGTGTGCTCCCGGGGTACTGTAGCTCTCTCCAAAAGGGGCAGGCAGCTTGTTGGTTGATTTTTACTGGGCAGTAACAAGATCATACACCGAAGTAGTAGGTTTCTTTTGCAGATAGAGACTTTTATATGATTGACTTGTGAAGCATGCATAGCAAGTTGTTCTTGTTAGGCATGTGGTGAAAAAAGCAGTGTGCTCCCCCCGGCGAGCCTGCAGTCAGCACGCACACAGCAGGGGTGGAGATGGAAATTGGCAAAAAGCAGAGAGAAGACGCAGCAGTGTGGTCGCACCGGGTGGCTGCTGGTTGCAAATAAAGAGAAGATGCAGTTTGCAGCGCTGCCTTGGAGTCTTTGCTCCCATATGCAGAGCAGCAGAACTGAGCCAGATCCTTAACACTGCAGAGCAGAATGTACTTAAAGGAAAAGAAATTCCTGCATAATAAACACCGGTTTGCAGTAAACTTTTAATTCATCAGCATTGCAGAGGCGTTTTGTTTTGCATGTGATTGTTCCTCTTGCTTTCATGGTCTTGTGCACCTTTGTGAGGAGGGGTTTGTGGCGAGACCTGAGTTTCTAGTGGAGGGTGCATTTTGCCCGCTACCTTTAGCGCAGACTATTGCAGAGTTTCTCCTGCCAGTCATGCATAGCACTGTAGACTCATTGACATGCAGACCAGGTTCCATGAGAAGCCCTTACCGTGACAATTGCCATGATTAACTAGGTAAAAATAATATATTGGAGTTTAATTAAATCTTACCAGTCAGTGTTGTCAGCCAGCAATCCATCCACTCAGCTCTTTGAACTGGTACCGCTTTCATTTGAAGCAGGAGACAGGCTTTTGGCAGCTCTGCTGCACGAACAGGCGAACGTTCCTATGTCCATATTGCTGTTGCGCATCTTCTTGCTTGTCCTTCTTGCGTTATCTCATGCATTGCCAGCACTCCCAGAGATCTTTTTTTTTAATCAAAGGTGTAGAGTTTCTTATTCTTATGGCTCATGTGGAATTAGACCCTGTGATTTCTATCTTTTCACAGTGATAAAATTAGCTGTAGAAATTTGCCTTTTGGTGGTGGTGTTCTCCTTTCTGAGTTAGAGAACTTCAGAGAGTTCGTCCCTTCTCAGGATCCAGATTCTAGCTTGCTTTTTTTTTCTTCTGTTTGGTCTCCGCTCTCTGGAAATCAGCGAGTTGCTTCTTATCAGCTTCTTGAGCACTAGCCACCAGGACTTTGTGAACGTCTTATTCTTGTTCTCAAAAATAAGAATTTTTAAACAATTCACTAGAAACATGTCTAGGTTGTAAACAGGTCCGTCTGCTGTTCTCAGCCAGATCTGATTTCCTGGTGTTCTAATGTAGCTGCTGAAAATACCAGGGAATGAGTCTCTGCAGCTGGACTCTCGTCCACCAGATGCATTTTACTGTTCTTATACCTTGCCCACTTGCTTCTGAGCCCTTCTGATACAGGAGTCGTCTTTTCAACAGCTTCCAGCATCTGAAACTATCACTTGCTTGTATCTACATCCAAATACAAACCTCAGCCAAAAGCTACTGTTCTTTCCTTTTTGCTTCTTAAAATTCTCTCCTCTTCTCTCACTTATTGACATCTGTGATTGCACTGGGCTTTGAATTGTTTGGAGATACTGTTTGCATGAAGAATGTTATATAGCGCAGTCCCACTTGTTTTACTGTGTTAACTGAAGCTCTGACACACTGTGCAGATTATACTGTGGATTGGCCTGGGAATACTGGTTATTAGTACGTACACCACCTTGTCTGCAACGGAGGACACCCCTGTGAAGGCAGAAGCAGTGGGCTTGGAGCACCTTGAAGCGGAGGAGACCAGGATTGACCAAGATTCTGTCAAAATCCCAGGTATGTGTGTGCCTGAGTCGTGTCTACCGGCCCTTCTCCCCAGCTCCATCTCTGGGGAAAACAACCCTGTGGTGGAAGCAGAGTTGTTTCCAGGCATCTCTGTGCATCTTTAGAGCATCCTAGAAACTTTTTCCAAGAAAAGGTGCAGTTTTGCCTTCTGGAAATGCCTGATGGGAGTTCGGAGGATACCCTTTGGGAGGCTGTCCTTTCAGAAAAGGAGGGCCTAATGGGGGAAGCCGGCGCCCCCATCTAGTGACAGAGCACAGAACTACCCGTACGGGGTAATGAAAGCATCTCTGTGGGCGCAGCCCAGAGATAGCTCTGGGCTGGCCACCTGTATGAAGGGTGCAAGGAGCCAAACAGGGCTGCTTTCACTGTTTCTGCCAGCGCATTGTCCATGGTTCCAATAACAAGCCATTCATTGCACTCAAAGGTATGTAAATTTATGGGCACTGACTTTTTTTTGGTTGTGAGGATATAAATTTGGATTCGGTTTTAGCTCTGACAAAGCCTGTGATTATGCCTCAGCTTTGTTTACTGGTTCACGTTATTTATTATTTGTTTACTGTGGCCGTTGATAGAATTACGGCCGAACCCTCCCTTCCCCAGCTGCAGGCTTGCCTTGCAAGGCCATCGCTAGCAGGTGTCGTGTGACCCTGTGCTGCCCCTCATCTGTGGCTGTGTCCTGTTTCTTTATTTTATTTTTGTTTGGTTCTGCTCGGGTTTTTTGTTCTTCGGGGGCCTTGAAATATCCTCGCAGAGATTGAGAACGGAAGCGAGAAAAGGGCTGCCTCTTCTGGAAATTTGCTGAACAGATTTGAGTGTCTCCGAGACACCGGTGCTGCCTCCGATAACATTCACTCCTGGGTTGCGCTGTCCCTGACGGTGGGGTTTTATGCGTTCACGCTAACGGTTCATCCAAGGCGCGCGTGCCTTCTCAGGCGCTGAGATGCCCGTGAACTCTTAGCAAAAGATGCTCTCAATCCCTTAATCATGCACACTCAGCAGGGCCGGGAGGAGGGATGCAATTGAATTCTTCCGTCTTGGTTAATTTTGGAGCAGTAATGGCCAGAGAACAGCTGCTCGTTTCAGGAGGGGTTGCTAATGACACGTGTTCTTGTGACTGGGAAAATAAAAAAAGTCCCATAAAAGACTGTGTCCGCTGGAGTTTGCTAAATCTCTTCTCCACTTCTCCGCGTGAACCGGGGAGGCAGAGCAGGAAGCCTGCGTTTAATCGTCACGGAGCACAGCGAATCTTAAGTTGCCCTGGCGTACCCACTGCATGTGTTTGGAGCTTGTCAGCATTAGCCCTTATTGCGTGGTACTTGATGCTGGATTAAATAATCCTACCTAGGAGGAAGGCGTTTTTAGTACTCTTGGTTCGTAAACTTCCCAGGGACGAGCTGCGCAGCTCCAGGCACACTAACAAGTGTGTTCCCGGTCAAATCTCCGCTTCCTTCCCAACGGCCCTCGGTTTGTTTCGTGCCGGGCCGGCGCGCGGGGAGGCGAGCGCCGGGGCCGGCTGGGGGGCCGCTCTT